CATCAACACGGACACTGGCCCTAAAGTACCAACGGTCGACAAGGTGGTCTGCACTGACATTAACTCTATCACATGGAGCCTGGAGCCGATGGGGACAGGGATGCATTTCAGTGTCTGGTGGGCTTTTACCAGTCATGCTTCGTTGGTGGGCGGGATACACCTCGACGAGTCGTACTTCAAGGACACAACATTGGCAGATGGAAGCAAGTCACAGAGCTATGTGGGGCCGCACAATTTCACCTTGGAGACTACCATGGTGATGAAAAATCCCGGGGGCAAGAGGGAGATGGGAGAGAGCGTGGAGTAGTTCTGTTGTGGCTTGTTGAGGCACTGCACGAAGGATAATGCATTTGAATGTCAAGTTTTCTACTTAGTAGACATATCTTGATAGTACTAGAGGTCTGCGGTCGAACCTCCGTAGGAATGAATCTAATTCTGATTAGTTTTCTGGCACTTCCTTGCAAGAGTCGAGGGTTTCACTCACAGTCTGATCAAAACAACCAACGGGCGTCTGATACAGATATGCCCCCGTGTTGATGAACACCTCCTGATTCTCACAAACAAGCCATGCAGCCACGTTGGGCCGGCTAATGTCGGGTGTGCTCCACGTAAGCGTATCGCCCTGGAAGGCAAAAGTTCCGTATGTGCCTTTGCTTGCACTAAACCACGTCTCTAGCTTTCTCTGCGTCTTGTCTGTCGGGTTCTCGACATTGAGGTAAAGCGGCGATGATCCAGTCAGATGAACAAGTTGGCCGTCCTCAACTTTGAACTGACCCGCGCTGCTAGGTGAATCGAGGTAGGCTTTGCTGGGCGTGCCGGTGGGCTTGGCCTGGAGGTAGCTGTGGAAGTTGGGCGAGGCCACGGCACGGATCCAGGACCATCCAGAGACGAGAGTTGTAGGAACAGAGCCGCCGCCACCTGCAGCCGTGGTGGTCACGGTCATAAGAGTGGTAGTTGCGCGAGAAGTCGTACGGGTGTTAGTGCCTGTTGCGGTAGGGGCAGTGGAGGTTGAAACAGGTCTGCTAGATGAGGCTGTGGGAGTGCTGGATCCTGGAATACATTGAGAGTAATAGGGGCTGTCTCGACAGTCAGCGGATGGTTTGGATTGTTGTGATGATAGATCTACTTGAGAACTGAGCAGGTATAGCCGCTACTGCAGCTTGTAGCTCCAGTCCAGCCACTGCCACCACCTTCGACCGTGTCAGATACTGACTATAGAAAAATCAGGAGAGGCCATGACTTACATTGCCCCCAAGCTGGTGCTGTTGTCTGCGCTACCACGGGACTAAGGAGCAAGACTGCTGATAGGCCGGTGGCCAACACACGGATCAAGCTCATTTGGAAAAAGTACAAACGAACACGAACTAAGTCTTTGGTGGTTGCAACACGATTTGTTGACAGCTTGGTGACTGAAACGACTGAAGTGGATGCCAAGTGTGGATGGTTTTATACTCGGGGAGGATCAACGAGGCTTTTACTCACGTTGCATTCAGTCCCAAAAATCTGTCAGCTGAAGCACCTCACAATGACGGAACTAACTGCTCCTCTCCTTATTGTTCATCTTTGGCTCCTGCACTGAGAGCTCCGGGAGTCAGGCGATGTGTTCTGTAGGCGGCGGTGGTAAAGGCTGTTTTCAACCAAACTCGTCGAGGGAATGGCGTCCCGGATAGATTAACTAGAGATATGAGGTTGCAATACGATTGATATTGGGAGCCCAGATGAGAATAGCGCCTCAAGTACATCACGTTGTATGGTGTACTGCCTTGAAGGAGAGCATTACCGGAGGGAACTCTTCCGGGCCGGAAGTGGCTGCCGGAATGCCGGGACCAATGCTACGTCCATTTGGCAACGGTTGAAACTTCCATCATCACAACCAGAATTTGAGATGATTGAGAGCCAGGCGGCTGAAATTAATAAGATAGCTCACTGGCTACTAGCGATCTTCCGAGAACCAAACGACCAAGCGGGAGGTGAAAGAAGCCAACTTGAGGGGCAATAAGAAAGAGTAAGCTCTTATGTGATCGACGGCGTACACTCGATTAAGCTGCTGCACGACCAATGAACCCGCTCAAGACATCAAGTAGAAAGGGATCAAGTCCAAGAACCCCAGCGCCATGACACAAAAGCTGCCAAAACTCCAACCGGTCATCACCGCCACTCTCCAACGAGCCGACGCAGTTACCGCCTCTAGTTGCACCAGCAACGAACGTCAGTGTCAACAGAACCCAGCCAATGGCATCTTCCATGCAAGTACTGCCCGAAGGCTGTCGAAACTCAATAGTGCGGCTGTTGTCGTGCCCTAGCAAGCGGGCAAAGTTCCACTTGTAGACTTTGCCGTGAACGAAATCTCTCTTTCTCCCATGTGCTCTTCCATACGCACTGGATGCCGGAAAGAGGCACATCGCTTCAACGACGGCGGTAGTCCCTCGTTGAGCCGCGACGTCGAGAGCGTCGAGGCAGTCCTCAAGAGTCTGGCAACGAGATAGCACCGGGTTCCGGCGGTTGCTCTGGCACCAGTAGGCGGCAGCTCTGTCCTTCGGTACGAGGGCATCGAAGCAAGCTTCATATGTCAGGATTGCCTTGCCCAAAGAGGCCAGTTGGAATGACGAGAACTCCTGATCTGCCTGGCTGACATGTACGTGAGTGCTGCACTGGGGAAGCGTCTGAACGGACGAGTGCTTCTGGACAGCAGAAAAGATGTTGTCTGCATCGGACAGCCACTGAGACTCGAGGCTGAAGACGGGGGAAACTAGCTCAAGTGCCCCTGAGTCGGCTCAGCATCAGAATTCAGCATTCATTGCGTGGCTTGGTATACTGACAGTTGTTCTTGGAAGGATTTTGAGGGATTGTGATCTCCTGGACAATGGACCACTTGCGGTAACTCCCATCCACCTTTTCCTTGACATGATTGCTGACACCTTTCTTGGCCAAGCGACTGCTGGTGTCTTGGGCCATGGACAACCAGTTTTTGTGCTTCTTGCTGCTATTGAGAGATAGCTCAAGCTCGAAGCCAAAGTTGAGGGCCTGGTAACTAGACATCTTGGAAGATGTTGTATATAGCGACTATGTTGGAGCTTGGGGTTTGGTTCAAGAAAAAGGAAATGCTTGCTATCTACGAGTCCTCACTCGTGAAACACGGGAAGATATCTTATATTCTATGTCTCAAGTGGATGCTAGACGATATTCACCTGGTCTTGAGCAAGTTTGAACATGTCCATCGCTTATTGAGCTTGCCAATGGGCTTGTTACGACTCATCAACGCCTACTTCATCGAGACCGCGGCCTTTCCAACAGCCCGGTTATCAACATCGCCATCTGCGCGACCCTTCCACGCGACATGAGACATAACGCTCCCAGGATTTGAGATACAATACCCTGTAGTTGCTTCAAAGGTGAGCCAAGGGAAGCCAGCCACAGGCTAACATCAATCGATGCCACTTCGTCTTCCGGCGAGACGCTCATGGCTAGCGCTCATCGGTATGCAAAAATGGTTCCTGGCGATCCCAAAATATTAGGACAAGGAGAGAGTTCATACCCCTGAGGCTCAACTCAACGTCGAACCGTGGAGGGTGGGGGCCATATCAGGCTGGACTATACACATCTCACTTGTTCCTGAATGAGGGTTGGCTGTCAGCTCAAGGCGCTTCGAGCCTTCTGGAGGCAGCCTGGTCTTCTGGGGGCAAGATCAACTCGATAAGGTCAGAGAGTCGGCAGGGTCAGTACAAGACTAGACCCAAGACGGCCGACACCACATGAGATATCCCCGACATCCCTGGAGAGAAACATGGCACATGTCCCCCGAGCCTTTCGCGCTGAACTAGGCGCCGGTCACGGCCATGAAGGTGTGAAAGACCAACTTGGAGGGGCGGTGAGAGCCGTGGATCGAGTTGGGAGTAAGGGGGCGACGGGCGCTTTGAGGTCTGGGGGGATTGTGACTTTGCAAGACACCTGATGGGGTCATCTGACGCAATGTCAAAGGGTGAAAGAGGGGTTGTTGGTTAATGGGCTGGATGATCCCAGACACTTTGTCCAAAAGAGCCGCCGAGGGCAGACAAACATTCTATTCTGAGAGCCGAGAGTGTTGGTGGTCCTTTAGGGACCGTGTGTTGCCGTCACTCGACGATGGCCGGCCGGCGTTTCGCGAGATCGTGAGTTTCCCTCACATATAGACAGTGTGCCAAGAAGCCACTCTCAACTTGACTCGATAGTGTGGATGCTTGCTGGTAAAAGAGATGTAAGACGGTAGCACTTGGTGCCCTCTACCCCGGAAGGCTCCGCGAGACAGTAATTTCGCGCAAAAGAGCGTCATTGCGGCAGAGCTCATGAAGTTTGATGTTGATTTCAATGACGGAGAGGCTAGTGGTAGCAGACAGAGCATGGCGAGACCATAAGGTACGACGGCGTTGAGTGAGAACGATGGGTAAGATCGCAATCAAGAGTGTGAGGCAGAATAGCAAACATTCTCAGCAGTCTCATAATAAAAACTACAACCATAGATAATTGCTCACATAGGTATTCTAAAGCCCTTTGAGCACTGATGGAGTGGTCAGCAATGGTAACGAAACGTCAGTCAGAGAAACAGCAAGTCACGAGGATCCAGTGACTCGGGAACCATGCAGAAGACACCGATTCGGCGGCCTGCATTGCTAGACAGATGGGACAGCGATCTGGAGCACATGCAGCAGCAGGCCGCTCTACGAGAGCCCAAAGTTCGATCCAATTAGCAACGTGCCGGGTGTAAAGTGGTGTTCGTAAGGCGCAAGGGATGCGGTAGTGACAAATTCCATTGCTTGCAGCGACGAGTGTGGAGTTCTCGAGTGCTTTAGTTGAAGAGGACAGCGCGGGGCGCAACCAATGACCAAAAATTAGTGTTCCTTCGACTGTGCTCCGGAGCACCTGGAAGCTTCCTCGGTCGCCGACCCCACAATTACCGCTGGAGAGAGAAGCTGACGAGATCACTGCCGTCGCTGACGAATGCCCTCATTCACACTCACTCTTATTCTCACCCGCGCCCTCACTCTAGCAAGTTCAAGTGAGCCCTTCTCATAAGACAGGCTGCTGCGTCCACAGTATATAATAAACGCGTGAGAACGAAGAGAAAACGCCACGGATCTGCCGACGACTTCATCTCAATTACTCTACCATAGGTAGCCACATCCAACTATCATCTCATTTCGCAACACCAAAAACTCACATCTTCAAGCCGCCAAAATGGTCGTCCTCCACGCCACAACACTCACAGAGTTCACAAACCTCCTCTCATCAAACACATACCTCGTTGCCGATTTCTACGCAGACTGGTGCGGCCCATGCCACGCCATCAAACCGATATACGAATCCCTCTCAAACACTCACGGCCAGCCAGGCTCCCTCGTGTTTGTAAAAGTAAACGTCGACTCCGCCCAAGATATCGCCCGACGCTATGGCGTGACGGCAATGCCGACCTTCATGTTCTTTGAAAACGGCCAGCCCTACAACGGCGGACGGAGCGTCATCCGCGGCGCCGATCCCAGGAGCTTGCAGACCACCGTCCAGGAGCTGGGTGGGCTGGCCAAGAAGAAAGCCGCCGAGGCGGCCGCACAGAAGGCTGAGGCCGAGAGGAAGAAGAAGGAAGCCGCCGCAGCCGCCGAGAAGAACGTCAAGCCTGATGATGGTTCCACTGTCTCTGGCGGCTACACCCTCGGCGGCAATACAGGCCCGAGGTCGGACTGGAAAATGTCCTTGAGGGGGTGATTGCCGCCGTCGCGTTTCTAATCATTTCAAGCAGAGTCTCACGCTGCGGCTGTCGCGCCGCTACGCACATGTGAGTTGGAGGACGGGGTGAATCTTTTTGGTCGTAGCATAGCAAAAAAACATCAAATTTGTTTCATTGTATTAACTCATCAAACTTTTCATGTCCCCGATTCCTCACTTGCGCCGCTTTGTTGCTGTATTTCGTCACCCAAAAAATGCTACCCAACCGATATCCTTTTGACTCCTTGGTCTGTATGTATGAAAAAACTAGTAAAGAAAATAGAGATATATGCCGTCGTCCTTGATCATATCTTTGCGGCCGTTATTGTGTGGGGTATCTGTTGTTCTTGATCATGATAGATGCGCCTCGTCGTATCGTGCCCAAGCGGTCAAATCCATCGCTGTCGAATAGAAAATGTAAAATTGAAATCGAGCCCCAAGAAACTTCTGTCCTCAGACAAAAATCCGCTCATGTCTCTGCCTATTCGTTCCTACCTGCCGTCATCAGCAAGCTTACCGCACTTGACGCAGATCAGGCGTTGTCTGCCACCAACTCTCTTCGCTTTGAAATCCTTGCTCGCACATTTTTGACAAGTCATTTGTTCGCCGTCTTCGCTGGTATACTCGGAGCTTAGACGGCTGACAACCGAGTTCCGAAGACGATCTCCGATCCGTGAATTGTCTGGTTGTAGTAAATGTTCATCTACCTCAGCTTTATCAGCAGCATCCTCAATGCTCTTCGTTGTGCCTTTGTGATCTTCTTGCACGGCCAAGTCGTGTATGCCTGCACCTAAGCTCTTGCGGCGGGAAGCTTTGGTTCCATTACTAGCCGAAGTTTGCATCGTGTCTGCTGTGCTCATGCTATTTCGCCCCTGGCCAACCTGCGATTGCGATGTATTGACGTTACTAAACGACACCGACGATCGCAAGGATGAGATCCCACGCCATCGATTGAGATTCCAGAAAGAATAGCTGGCGCCCGCAGGATCAAGCCGAAGCTCATCGCTTTCGTCGTCATCGGCGGATAGAAAAGAGAAACTCGGGGTCGGAGGAATGGACGGAGCCCGGTCACGGGAAGCCCGGCTCGATGTGGGACTAGCTGGGAGTTGCGGACGTGCCGGTGGTGATGATCCACTGTATGGTTGTTTTCGCGCTTCTGATGCAAGGTTGGAGGCACTGTTGTTGATTGGCGTCCGTGACGCCTTGTTAGGCGATAGAGACCGGGGGCTTTGAGATGCTGTAATGATCATGGAGCTCGGGCGCCCACTTTCGATTCCATGCCGCCACGTATTGATGTCGGAGCTCAGCTGAGCACCACCAGGAGCTGCCAGGCGGGAAACCGAGCCCCGGCGTGAGCGCGGTTGGCTACCGACACTTGTGCGCGTTGCTACACTCCCGCTGCGTCCAACAATGCTTCCTCCCATGCGACGGGAGAATGTTGAACCCGTTTCCCAGTTCTCATGGCGGCGTTTGATGTATGCGCAGTCCTGGCGGAAAATCTTGATGCCCCCAGATTGGTCCGTGGTGACGAGAATTTGCCCGTCAAAATGTTTCGACTTCTCGATGTACGCGGGCGATTCTTCCGGTCTTTTAATCTTCTGCTGCTTGACCTGAGGCTTTTCGTCGTCCGAGTTACCTGTTTGGCTGGCAACGGACTCCTCGAGGCTCATTAGAGTGACTGGGGGAGGGTTGCAGAGGTCGTAAAGAGGATCCCCCGAGCCACCAAGGAGCTGGCGCGATTTGGTCGGAGCGAATATCGCTGTTGAAACTCGATCTGAATGGGCATCGAAGTATTCGCAGGGCTTCTCCTTGTCTGATTCTGCGGAATGCACAGACCAGATATACGTTCTCTTGTCTTCGCTGCCAGATACTATCCACTGTCCGTTGTCGCTGAAGTCGGCGTGAATTTGACTGCAAGTATTTTCGTAGCCCTTGAACTTGGATTCCAGGCTCTTGTCGCGCAGATTATAGATGCGTACTCTTGAGTCGTTGGATGTGATCAAAACCTTAACTTCGTCATCAATGACCATCGTCTTGATACCAGTAATCTTGCTGCCCTTGGCATTCTTGCCTCTCGATGATCGCACATGCAGCTGAGAGTTCTGTTTGAGGCCCTCCGTGTCGTGGAACATGCACATGCCAGAGAGCCCGCCAGCTATTGCAGTCTTCCCGTCAGGTGAAAACGCCACAGCCGTGATGAGATCAGACAATTGGGTAGAGTAAGCTACAGCTTTGTCCGGAATACTCCAGAGACGCAGTGTCGAGTCGAGGGATCCCGCAAGAAAAAACCGGTCGTCAGTAGGATGAAACGCTATCGACGTGACAAAGTCCTTGTGTTTGAACGTGCAGAGACATTCTTTCCGGCTGATGTGCCATAGACGAACAGTCTTATCCATCGACGACGACAACAGGAAGTTGTTCTTGCTCCAACTGAGGTCTAGTACTTCGCCTGTATGCCCTCGGAACTCGTGAATCGGCTTGCTTCGAAAGACAGGTGCACTCAACCTTTCTCCACTGGCCCCGTTTGCGTTTTCCTCCTCTTCGTGACGACGCCGCTCCTCATGCGTCGTTATCACAGCCCATACTCTCACAACTTGGTCCTTTCCCGCAGCAGCAAAATACTTGCCATCGGTGCTGAACTCCGTTGCCCAAATAGCTCCGCTTGTGTTCGATCGTCGAGTGTCGATCGATGCTGTTGCTGTCGTATTCGTATCGTCCTTCGAGTCGGGCTGTGGAATGAATAGCTCCTGGGCAAGAAACATGCGATTGAACTCGCGGATCTTCTTGCTATGTGCCTTGACCCGGATGTACCGTGGGGGTTCTTTGTGGTGGGGTATGTATCCGGACCCAATAACTGAACCAAAGGCTTGGGCATTTGTCCCATCTATCCGGTGATCGCTGAAGACAGAGTCCTCGTCGTCTTCGCGTCTTCGTCCTCCTCGCATACTCAATCGACTTAGGAATGATGGCCCTTTTCTACAATTGGTTAGTACCACTAGCATGAACGAGGGGACTCAAGAGTGCAGACTTTTTGTCCTTGGTGGCATCGAATGCATGCGCAGGAAGCTTCGTTGGCTGCTCTGGAACCTGAGTAGGACTATCGGGGCGTTTGCGAAGCTGAGGAGGAACAGTATGGCCGGTGTTGGTTCGCATCAGAATGTGCTGTGGAAGATTAGCAACCAAAGGCGATCCTACGGCCATGCCAACGGCGGCGACGAACCTGAGATAGCGGGTCAATTGCGGCAGGAGATTGGACGGCGACTGGCGAGGGCTTGTCGGCCTTGCCGTCCTTTGCATTCGGCGTCGTACTCCGAACGAGCTTCGTGGGTGTCTTCTTGGCAAAGGTCGGAAAACTGCTGCCTATGCAACGATTAACATCCACCGTGTGCGCCAAACAGGGTCAATGACGGTCCCCAGTCTCAACCTTGAAGAACCAAGGGGCCAAGGGCCCAGTGCGTGGCAGATCCGCATATCGTTACGTACCTTGAGACTCTGAACCGCCAGGTGACTTCTGGGCAGTCGAGGAGCCTTCACGGCTGAGGGGGGTTGAGAGACGAGGTTCAGAAACGGGTGCCGGGGGCGGCAGTGGTGGTGGTGCCTGGCCATCTTCGCGACGGCCAGCGTCCATGGATTTTATGGCAGAAGACCTAGGGGTCGACATTTCCCATCATGCGAACGCCGACGAGGAAGATAGCCGCGTACAGAGTTGCGGGCACTTGGGCCGTCTGTGGGCACGAGAGGTAAGCGCGGGTAAGCTGAGTAGGTCGCGGGCCTGAGGTCGAGGTGTGGTGGTCGTCGGTGGGTGGTTGAGTGATTCAAGATGTAGTAATACGAGTGATCCGAGACACCCGAGCTTCACGAATGGGATTGGAGCAGTGTGACGACGGTGGGCGGATGATTTGACGGTCCAACGGGGAGGCCGGAATTCGCAGACGGCCGATATTGCCCGTCGCCGCGGGTGGCCGTGAATTGAACGGTAGGGCCTGTCTACTGGATATATCGCTCTCCTGGATCCCGTCGTTCCCGATACGAAATTTCTTTGGAAACGAGAAGAAGCGGACTTTGTGCTGGGCGCGGCGCGAGGTTTTCTCCCAAAGGAAACCGGCGCTCGCTTGCTCAACCGTCGTTGGTCAAACACGGTCGGTGGTGGTGTTTTCTGGTGGTTGGGAGACCGGGTACGTATTACGCGGGTTCGGATTCGTCCAGTCCGCGTATTCCGTATGCTAAAGCAAGGCATCCACGTAGCCCGCGTTTCCACCCTTTCTTTGATGAACAGCTAGGTAAGGTATAGCTGGTGTTGGTCGGTAAGCAATTCCAGAACCTGCTAGTTGCCGTATGCGGGCAATTCGGGTTGGCTTGGTAATTTGACAGCAAAGTTATGGTGTATGGAACGTATCTGTACTCGGAAGAATACGCAGTACGCAGGAAAGTAATCAAGAAAGACAAAGTTGCATGTCTCCGTCGATTCTCGGCTGGATCCGCACAGCTTCCCTTGCAGCTGTCCAGGATGCACCCGCTTCGAGAAGGGCAGAGTGTGGGGGAACAGGAACGCAGAAACGTCGCGTTTCTTATTCTGGCGCAATGAGTCGGAAAAGATGAGACTGGCCCAGATTTGACCGTATCGTATGTACCTTACCCTGGCCAGATTCAAGAGCGAAAAATAGAGTCTGGAGTAATGGGTACGGAGCCGAGGCACGAGGCAATTGGCGATTGAGTTTGCGCGCAGTTGACACTCGGAGCGGAGATGACGATGTCTAAGGTATGCTGACGATGTTTTGTTTCTCCCTACAGAGTGCGCAATGATGACTTGGAGGAGTATTTGTCTCGAAGATGGAAGCCGACGGAAAGGATGAGCAGGGAAATGATGGAAATGGAAGAGAACCTTGGAAAGAGGGAGGCACAGAGAGTGGACCGCAAGGTACCTACCTAAGGAAGGTAAGGTAGTGGAGGAAAGTGCGCCGGAAACAGCAGGTTGGCGTCAGATGTAAGAAACGATTGCGAGGGAAATCGGAGACATGGAAGACTCAGTCACTCATTCTGTCCCATGAGGTAGCACAAGGCGAGGCGAAACCCAAGACGACACACACACACACACACAAAATCACATTGGAGGCTTGGAGCACTGACACTAGGCTGGAACTTGGATTTGGATCGCCTGCTTACTGATGCCGACACTGGACGATCGCCACCAGCCAGCTTTCTGATGCGTCCTCGTTCCTGGTAACTAGGTAGGGGGCACAGTAAAACCATCCTCCAGAAGAGTCAAGGCTGTGTTATGGATGCAGAATGCCTCAGACCACTCAGCAACTTTCGCATAAGGTATGGCACTCTGGCAGCTGCAGCTAACCGTTGGTTGGGCTCTAAACGTACCTAGCCTTGAAAGCCAACAGACAGCTAAGCAAGATCTAGCTACTTCATCCAGACTCCAAACATGGCGTTTTCTTAGAAAGTTTAGACTGGGTGGGTAGTTTGCAGTTCATAGTAAGAAATGGGTATTGGATACATTTGCGCACTCCTCATCGCTTCCCTACAAATCTCTCCGCTTTTCAATTGTGCGCGCCGGCAAACTATACTCCATCTCTAGATGCGCCGAGGAAATGATGAATATGCTGTTATGTTGAGTACCTGAGGATAAAGGAAGGGGATTTTGAGCAATGGCAGGTATCAAAAACGATGACGAGACCTATGACGTCGATCTACACTCGCCCGACTGTGCCTGAACTCAACTCGCCTAAGCCGGGCAATGAGCACGCACCGCACGGGGGTTTTGGTTGATACCCTTGGGAGGGACCATAGGGTCTACATGCCTGTATTCGTAAATGGCAACTAATTGAGGTATGAGTGATTCTCGGGGCAATTTGCTGACCGAAATAATTGACTTCAGATGAGCCTACTTCGAAAAAGATCTTGACCTCGGTCGCAATTCGAAGCACCTGGCAGCGAGGCAAGTCGCAGCTCCGACCCTTCTGAGGCGTCGGGGATTCGTCTAGTGTTCCAATTTCACAATGAGAGGAAAACTTGATCACCGGCCTGGAGCTGAGGATCTCTCGACTTCCAGGATCATGGAGGGAAGGCTCAAACCCAATTGTGCTCTCCCTTTCGGCCTTTCACGTGGTCATGGCTGAGGTAGAGTTTCTTGAGCACTTGGAGAACCTTCATCACCCTGAATTCTCGAGAGAGGCTCTGAGGACCTGGAATTGGAGGAAGACGAATCGTTATCGGATCTGTCTCCGATAGATAAGGCAGCGATAACGATAAGAGAAAGAAACATGGAATTCATCAAGATACCTAGGTACCTAAGGTAGGTACGTACCCTCCCTCAACCCCGCCACCGGGCAGCCCAGCGCTTCTGGCGTCACTTTCGGAGATACAGTGCAGTGACGGCCTAAAATGATGCGCAGTGCATTCCGTTCCCCGGCAGCTAATCAGAGCCCAGAGGTAATTCAATTTGCCAATCTGCGTCCAGATATTTTCAAACATTCTCGATCTTCGTCATCGTCGCAACTTCAATTTCTTTCCAACACGAACCTAGCACTTTCTTGCCCCCTTTCTCGCGTGCTTCAATAGCACACCCTTCTAAACAATGAAGCTTGTTCCTACGAAGCCGTCGCAAAATATTGCCGAGGATGCAGTTACCCTCATGCCCGAAGATTCTGAGGATATGGCAAGTTCACGAACCCACTCTATCCCATTGCCTGATGCGCCCAACGCTGCGACGTCTTGCGACGAGATGCTATTCACAACACACTAACTCAGCCCGACTAACATCATAATAGTGGCATGCCTACAACCTCATCACACCTGGCGACCTCGTCATGGCGCATGCCGTGAGGAAAGTTGTCGCCGAAACGAAAACCGGCAGCACCATTTCCGAACGAGTCCACACCGTCCTTGCGATCCAAGTCAAGAGCACATTCTTCGATCCCATTGTCGGCCAGCTCCAAGTCAGCGGCGTAGTCAAATCGGAAAATGCGTACGTCAGTCTGGGTCAATATCACACGCTTGACCTCGAGGTCTCTCGCCCCTTCACGTTGAGCAAGCCGCAGGGCTGGGACTCGGTCGCCAAAGACACATTATCAGAGAGTCTGTCGGACGACAAAGATGGCGCAATGGCTGCCGTCGTCATGCAGGAGGGCATTGCCAACATCTGCCTCATCAGCCAATTCCGCACCGTCGTCAAGCAGCGAATCGAAAGCGTCATACCCAAAAAGCGAAGCGCCGCGACCGAAACCTCACAGGGCATGACCCGCTTCTACGAAAAGACGCTGACCGCCCTTCTCCGAACCGTCAATTTTGACACTCCGAGACCCCTGCTCCTCGCCAGTCCTGGGTTCACCGCGGCCGATTTCAAAAAGTACATTGCGGACGAGGGGAGGGACAAATCAGACAAGAAGCTGTCGGGAATTGCCAGGGAGGCGGTCGTCATTCACACAAATTCGGGCCACGTGCACAGCCTCAACGAGGTTCTCAAGAGCCCTGAGATGGGCAACAAGCTCAAGGACTTCAAGTTCACCAAGGAGACCAAACTGATGGATCAGTTCTTCGAACGGCTTCGACTAGAGGACGGAAGGGCATGGTACGGAACAACATCGGTGGCAAAAGCGGTTGCCGAAGGTGCCATCGGCCCTGGTGGCGGCATCCTCATCATGAACAATTCGCTATTCCGCAGTTCGGACATTCCAACGAGGAAAAAGTACGTCGCCATGGTTGACAAGGTCAAAGGGGACGGTGGCGATGTCAGGATTCTCAGCAGTGACCACGAGAGCGGCAAGCGGCTGGACATGCTGGGCAGTGTTGCCGCCATTCTGTCCTACCCCATCCACGACCTGGACGACGATGAGGATGAAGATAGTGCTGCAGCTAGCGGTGAAGCGGGTGGCGAGTCAATCATCTGATTCGACTGCGGATACATATATATGAGTAAATGATACCAAACAAGTGCATCATGAAAAGAAAGATGCTTATAAATAGGAGGTTCAAAAACGTTATAAACTCATAAACTTGTGTAGGTGACTCGGCGCATCTTCAATCTCCTTTGTGCTCGGGCATACAACAGTATGGAAAGAATACTACGCGTTCTTAAGGTAGTAATGGAGGGGCTTCAATGGCGGGGTAATCAGCGCTGCCCATTGCCCCTCCCCCTCCTTTTTGGGTCAGGCCCATGCCCTGACGTATATACCTGAACACACTGGGACGCCCGGGTGAGACACGATTTGTGATCCAATGAACAGGAGTCTCCGACAGCGCGCAAGAGCTCGGCACAGCAACACCGAACATACAGCCGACGGGACAGATTAGGTAGATGGTGCAAATGGCGGGGGATCACTCCTCATTTTATCCTGGACCGGAATGACTAATGCCCTCGTTCGAGAAGACAGACAATGCCCAAATTGCGAATGCAAGTGCTCTCAGCCAGCCCATCTATTTTCTTCACCTCATCTCATTTTCAAAAGTGCAATCTCATTCAACCCATCGCTGTCTCCGCGCACCTTTTCCACAACATGGCGTCCGCACTCACACTCCAGTCCAAGCAGAAGCTGAACAACGGCCTCGAGATTCCCGTGCTTGGCTATGGCGTACGACTCCCTCCCCTTGCGCGATTATCGTGACCTTATTACTGACATCGACATAGCTTTGGAAGACGTAAGTACAATTGCCAACACATCAAACCAATTGCCATTGCCAACACCGATTGCTAGTGCGCCCGAGCAAGCTGAAGAGGTCACTACTGAAGCTCTCAGAGTCGGCTACCGCCATGTGAGCTCCACCACACAAGCCTCGATTCTCGTCACCTACTGACCGCCATCAAAGGTCGACTCGGCGGCTTCATACAAGAACGAGGCCGGTGCCGGAGCTGCCATCCGTGGTGTTAAGGATATCCCCCGCTCCGACGTCTTCTTCACCTCCAAGGTTCGCTACATCAACTACGACGATGCCGAGGATCAGGTAAGGGAGACTCTAGAAAAGACCGGCCTCGACTACATTGATCTGATGCTGCTTCACTGCCCCTATGGCGGCTCGGAGGGCCGCAAGGGCGCCTGGAAGGCCCTCGTCGAGGCCCAAGAGGCTGGTCTGGTCAAGTCCATTGGCGTCAGCAACTACGGCGTGCACCACCTCGACGAGCTCGAAACGCATATCAAGGAGCTCGAGGAGGAGCGCGGCGGCAAAGGCAAGGGCGGCGCCATCAACGTCGCACAGTACGAAATCCATCCCTGGTGCGCGCGCAACGACATCGTTCAGTGGCTCCAGAAGCGCAACGTCGCTATCGAGGCTTATAGCCCTCTGGTCAGAGGTGAGAGATGGGGCGACAAGACTCTCAAGGCCTTGGCCGAGAAGTATGGCAAGTCTGAGGCTCAGATCCTGCTGCGCTGGAGCTTGCAGAAGGGTTACATCCCTCTCCCCAAGAGTGTGACGCCCACTCGTATCCTGGATAACACCAAGATTTACGATTTCCAACTGACGGACGAGGACGTCAAAAACTTGGAGACAGACGAGTACGCTCCGGTCTGCTGGGACCCAACTGTTAGCCCCTTGGACGGACCAAAGAGCGGTTGACAGCATCCAGGGTCACTGGCGATGCAGCCTAGCTTGAGCCCTTTCCATTTTAGCGACACATGTGTTCACTATCATACTCAGAAAAATAGACACCGCAAAGTACCATGCATATAGAAAACAAATCGCGCATTACTCGAAGATGCATCTCATGAGGCCGCAGCACCCGGCCCTCAGAAGAACGAAAGAACGTCTTGTGATCGGCTTAATAGTCGCTGAAAACCAGCGCTTGGCCGACGACCTCACCTCTTTTCTGATCTTCAATCAATGAGTTGAGCTCAAATCCGGTCATGGGCGTAAGAATGGCTTAGCAAACATGGAATGAAAGGCAGGGTTTGAAGACAATGAACCCATTCGCATTCTGCTCCGCGCTAGGACTTCTTGTCATATTTCTAAGGCGGTCAAGTAATAGTCCTTTCTGCCCCCAGCACTTGAGTTCAAGATGAGTACGTCGAGAAATAGAGTTGAGACTGGCAATGGGTTTCTTGTCAACATCAAGGCAAAGGTCTATCGCTCTCAAAGTCAGTGGCGACTCAAAACCAGGGAATTCTGAGCTTTACCGCAATCCTGCAATACCGTATTTGAATTGTACTGCGGTAGCGAGCGCTGTGTAAACTTGGGAGGTCATGGGTGCCCTTGAGACAGGTTCTCGTCGGTCTGGTTCTCACCTCATATTACACTAGATACTCAGGTGAAGGACCATCAGGATATCGACTTGATGCTAAGAAGGCGAGGCGTACTTTCCTACAAATGTGCGGATTTGTAGGAACTTGTGTTGTGTGATGTCAATCACTCAAACATGTCAGTGAGTCTGAAGACTTATGCGTTCTGAAAATCGAGGTTTCGATCGCAGCCTTCGTTCATCTCTGGCAATCTCACCAGGACAACCAATGACTGATGCGAATAGCCCTACCGGTACTATTACCCAGGCGACATTCACCCCCGTGTACTATGGTTCTGTTTCAAAAGGCATAATGCCCCGATATTGAAAGCTAGCTAGAGCCAAGTTACCATTTGATCTGTGCAAGCTTTAGACGGCCATTCCGCAGCCTATCCGCGAGGCTCTCGTCTGTTTTGGTTGCAAGCCTTGCCAACCCACTACCTTATTGTTCAGAACAAGCTTCTGACTTTTGAGGTGCTTCCCCTGAATAAAGTTTACTTTCAATCTGGGCATTGGCAGCTTAGACTACCCCGAAGCTAAGGCATTTGAACCTTAACTGAGCTCGTGCCAAAACCACAGCAACTCCATGCTTGACTACAATGCTTGGGGTCGACGGTTGTTGAAACGAAAGGAGAGCCTAGAGAGAAACATGTGCCTCATCAAGACCCTTTACAGATGAACCCGTGAGCGATAATCATGTTGTGAAAACTTCCCTTTCTCTAATACTTTCGCAGGTGGATATTTATGTGCTGCTGACAAGGGTTGACAGCTCAAGGAATAAGACGGTAACTTGTCCCGATAAGACAAATTAATCAACCCTTCGGATGGATCAGCGAGCTCAAGACTTTAGGGCAGCTCGTTTAATCGGCCAATTTTCGTATTGAGCTAGGTATCCCACTTGAAACCGTTGCGGGGTTGTATTGACTCTTCCGAGTCTAGCTCAAAATCTTCAGCTTGCGATGGATCCGGTGACGACGGCGGACAAGCAAGTCACAACAATACTCAAGCTTTGAGGCGTGCAAAAGGTGTGTTGCAATCTCGGGTCTATGCCGTAGAATATAGTGCTTCGGGTCGGTATCCCGTAGTGGTGTGATGACTTCTGGCCCGCCAGGTCTAACACGCTCTCTGAGCCTCTGTTCTTGATGGTTCTGGCGAGTCGCGCCAACAGAGCACAGGCGAAAATGAACTCTGAGTTGCGCAAGAGGAAACCGACGGACGATCTCATCTATATCATTCCGCCACTTACCGTTGCGCTGGATGCCGATCTACCCGTGTGGGCAGGACTAATTTCTCTGTAGACTGAACCGACCCACGATAGGGGGCACGTCCACCTTTATTACCAAATGTTTCAACTAGGGGTAGTATCAACTAAATGAAGGCTTACAGACTCATAAGAACAAAAGCATGGGGCTTGGCAACTCTTGTCACGATAGTCAACCGCATCACGCTCTTCTTCGATTTTGAATCTTTGCCAACTAAAGAGACAGGATCTCTCGTCGTTCGTTTCCCGTCATTCTTTTCTCTCAACAGTCCTTACAAGATGCGCAACTCAATCATCGCTGCCGCCGCTTACCTGGCTCTGGGAGCTAGAGCCGACATTTACCCCAATTATGAGTATGGCAACATGTTCTACCTTGGCCCCACCACCGGTGGTCAGTACATCACCAAGGCCACCTACAACATGGAGGTCCCCAACCCGCCCACGAACTGGGTGAAGACCGATGAGACTCAGCGCTGGCTTTCCCTCTGGATCGGTGTCCAGGACAACCCCAACAACGGCGACGTGCTCAACATGAACTTTGTCCAGCCCCTCCTCAACTGGGGACCTGATAACTCCGTCTGGGGCTGTAGCGCTCCCAACACGCAGTGGTGTGCTGCTGCCAGCACTTACCAACCCAGTGGTCAAATTGGCCAGGCCTACGTCCCGGTCAACAAGGAGGCCACTCTTGAGTTTGAGAGTATGTTTTCCATGCCCGATTCGATTGCGAGATGAATTTGCTTACAGTGTCGTAGTTTCTCTCAACTCTTCCACGGACATGATCGACCAGAAGATCTGGCAGAACGGGGACCTCATCTCTTCCGAGTCTGACTGTAAGATCCGCCCAGTATTAACATCCAAGACGAATGCTGACAACCCACTACAGCCAAGGGCATGAGGCCTGCCGTCTTCTACTCTGGTAACGAGTGCTACGGTGATGGCTGCGGAACTCTGCCGGCTTACAAGTACACCAATATCACCCTTGTTTTCGACAAGGCTGTTCCGAACTTGGCCGACATCATTTCTTACACCAACGCTACCCACACGGAATGGCAGACGAAGGACAACGGTATCACCTGGACCGTGGACTCCATCACCATCGCGGAGGATAACTTGACCGAATAAGCCGACAATCTGACTCAAGTCTTTGAGATTGTTTGTTGTCCAAGGCTTTCGATTCCTGTAGATACATTGTCACCGACGCCAGCCATATCGGACTTGGCACATTGTGTTGTAAAACCATTGTAGATATCAAACTGCACATACCCTAGGGCGTCATTACCCGCAAATCATCTGTACAAAGCTTCATGGAAACACTGAGACCGTTCAGGATAAGAAACTTTCTAAAGTATCAATCGACAGGCTGTCAGTAATATATCTCATCAGCGTCGCGTCTTCCGTGCAAGAGAATGTGACGTCGAGGGTGTGGAGAGTGCCAAGGCCATGGACACTCGGTGATCACGGCGTGGAGCCCGGCTTGGGAAGATGGGGCGCCGGCTTGGCGCAAAGAGAGAGATGGCAACCCGGCGGACTTAAGACGTTGCAAATATGAGGGGGGATCGCTTAAAACGGATATCCTGTCGCCTAAATCGTGAAGGAATACGTCGATAACTGTGGCTGTCCAATGTTTCTAGTTTCTGGGGTAAGCGCCGCCCGATGGCCAAGCGTCGGAGTTGGGTGTTCCCAATATGGAAACTCAGGTTTCCGACTCCCGGCCACAACCGACGGACTTACGATAAGCTCCCCCGCCTAATGCAGTGCGCCATTGATGGATGAGAGTGCCCAGGGGACCGAATATGATCTATTCTTCTTTGAGACATTTTGCGCACTTGGATTGCTTAATGCCGGCAGGGCCAGCAGATCTTAGAATACGATTATCAGCTAGCGGGAAAGATGTCATGATGTTGTCTGCTAGTGAAAGACTTCTTCCGGTTGAAAGCTTATACTCACAGCGAAGCGTATTTACGCCTAGTGTGCCTGTAAGTCCGAGTCTAGCGCACAGTCTCATTTGCCTCACGATGCTCTCAGTGTCTTACACGATGATGATCCACAATGATGGGTCTTGGTTGCAGAAGTACCTTTTCCTCGTTTTAGAAAGGCAATCAATTTCCAGGCGCTGAAGAAATAGATATAAAATCCACCATGCTATTTACCTGATCGGAAAACATTACCAGCTTCTCAAACTGGTTCCAAAGCATTATCAAGCCCAACAGCCTTGAGTGATCACTATTGGCAGCTGCTCTACCTTTCAATCAAAAACCTACCGTGTTGTTTCTCAGATATCATCTACACAATGGCCCCCAAGACTCTTCGATTTGCCAAAGATCAGCCGGAAGGCTTTGTGAATCGCATCGAGAAAGTTGCCATCGTCGGTGTAAGTACCTCTTAAACCAGATTGCGACCCCTCAGCAAATCACAAGAAAAGGGACTGACTGTTCTAAGGCTGCCGGTACCATGGGAAAGTTTGTAACTCGAGAGCTACTGAAAGGTAGAAAGCACTCGGTCACCGCAATTACCCGACACGAAAGCGATGCCAAATTGCCCAACGGCGTTATTGCTGCCAAGGTCAACTACGACGACGAGAGCTCGATTGCGGAGGCTCTAAAGGGACAGCAATACTTGATCATCACAATGAAGTCCACCGTCGGCCAGGAGACCCAAAATAAGCTTGTACGGGCTGCGGCCAAAGCTGGCGTTTCTTACGTCATGCCGAACGCGTGGGGTCCTGATCCGAAGAATGAAGCCATGATGAAAGATGCTCTTCTCGGTTCTTCTTTTCAAGGAGCCGTCAAAGAGATTGAGCGCCTTGGGGTAAGCGAATGGATCATCATGTCTTGTGGATTTTGGTACGAGTTCAGCGTGGCCGGCTCCCCTAATCGATATGGATTCGACGTCAGAAACAAGTCACTCACCCTATTCGATGAGGGCGATGTCAAGATCAATACTTCCACCTGGTCTCAGTGTGGCCGCGGACTGGCCGCTTTCTTGAGCCTCAAGTGGTTGCCTGATGACAAGGATGATCAGTCTCCCAACATCCAGAACTGGGCCAACGATGTGTTCTACGTTTCGAGCTTCTTGGTATCTCAAAAAGATATGTTCGAAAGCATGAAAAGGGTCACGAATACAACAAATGAGGACTGGGTCATCAACCATGAGAGCTCAAGAAAGAGGTGGGAAGCTGGCTACGAGGCACTAAGATCAGGGGACAGAAATGGGTTCTCGCGAATGATGTACTCGCGCATTTTCTTTTCCGCGACTGACGGTGACGTCGAGCACAAGCACGGGTTGGCCAATATGGACTTGAACCTCCCGGTGGAGAATCTAGACCAGGTCACTGCAGAGGCAGTAAAGATGTGCATCTCAGGAGAACTGGACTCCTACTAAAGTAGATTGTTGTGGAGACGAGTCTTATTCACAATTCGCACTTGACTTTCTCTTGACGGTATTTGATTGTGATTGATGTTGGAGGTAGCACTGTACCCATGCCGCAGTGTATCAATGAAAACGAAGGCGGGAACAAGAATGGAAGAACCACTGAATGAACACTTCCGGCCTGGACCCTTAAACCTTGTGTGAACCGCCAATTTTGGAAGTTGGCCAATAGATAGTCATGGTCACCCCATCCTTGAGTGTTGCTGTAACCTCTTGACTATCAATAAAACACTTCTCAGATAATTTTTATCTTGACAGAAATTGAGCCCTTCTTAGTTTGTACCACGATGAGATCATGGTCGTAAGAGATATCTTCGACCGTGGTTTCAAACAAAGTGGATCTCGGCATGACGCGGAGAGCCATCATGGCCACCATATGATAGACTTCGCAGTATGCCAAGCTGAGAAGCGCCGTTAGCATTGAGGATTGAGAGCCTTGGTCTCTGAACAAGCACTTACTTCTCACCAATACATGAGCGACTGCCTTTTCCGAACGCAAGGAGGAACTTCTCCAGCTTGTGATTCGGCTTGCCGTCGATCAACCAGCGCTCAGGAATGAACTCCCCGGGGTTTGGGAAGAGTTCCACGTTCCAATGGTTGATCATTGATGTCATGCCAACGGGAGTTCCTCTGGGGATAAGCCATTCCTTCTTACCGTCACGGGTCCTGTAAACCAAGTCCTCCTCACGGGCAATCCTGGCAGATCTGTGCGACACACCAGGCATCATGCGAAGAGACTCGTGAATGACTGCCCACAGGTAAGGCTTTTGTTCGAGCTCTGTCCATTTCAGGTTTGATGGATTGAGACCTTGTAACTGCTCCATAAGGCGGGCATAGGTCTGGGGCTGGGCAAGAAGGTAGTATGTCACGACAGTCAGAGTAGCCTGTGTCGCAATAGTTAGCAACACGGCAAATAACGGGAAGGAACCCATTCTCACAGCAGTGGTCTCGGTACCGGCGAGTAAGAAGTTGAAGCCCTCTCCAGAAAGTCGATACAATGATTTCTCTTCTTCGGGAAGTGTCTTCGATTCCATGAGATCGGCAAAAACTCTTCCGTTTTCCGGGTTGCTCAGAGCTGCCTTGATATACCCGGGGATAATAACATTCATCTGTCTCATGACAGACTTGATGTCTTCACCTAAGTAATCAGCCATCATAGGCATGACCTGAGCCAATTTACGACCAAGAGCGTTGTGTCTCATCATGTAAGCACTTTTGAAGAAGGACTTCACCCAAGTGGCAAAGTTGGGCTCCCATCCTTCCTGGGAGATGAAGCCCATGGGTTCTCCAAAAGCATACTGGGAAATGATATCCGCAGTAAAACAATTGAATGCCTCCTTCACGTCGAATGGCTCCTTTCCCGCTGAGCGGAGCATCTTGTCTGCGGTGAGCTGGGCAAATTCCTGCACCTCGCCCTCAAGTTTGAGCATTTGCTGGCGCGAAAAGAACTTTGACAAAGCGCCCTTGCGCATTCGATGAACCTCATGATTGACGGTGGAGAAGCCGGTAACCGAGACAGGGCCTGCGCCGCCGGTATTGAGTTGATGTTGCCACTTGTCGCGGATACGGCCCGAACCGGCATATACTTCGTCGGTGAAGTAGGGATCAGAAACATGAAGTTCATCCGGGTTTATTCTGACAATGGGCCCTGTGATTCATGTTGGTCAGCAGCGAATTATGTCTCACACTAGGGCTGTTGTCGAATCTACCATAATGCTCGTGCATCCGTGTAATGACCTTGCCATATCTGCCAAGCAGCCACCAGTCAAAGTACGCTTCGTATAGGTAAGATGCAGCTGCGATCTTTGGACCAGGGAAGTGCGCTAGCGGATGGAATGGCGAGATATTGTACAAGGCTATGCCGATATGATAAGCGACATAAAGAACAATAACGTAGGCGACTGCATTGGGACTCAGGACAGCCTTGAGACCATCTACGATGGCATTGGAGGCCATTTCGGACACAAATCGATGGACTGAATGTGCACAAGAGGGCAATGTTATCGATGCAACCTCTGCTAAGCGCAAGTTGATGTGACAGCTACCTTTCCAATGGATATATAAATACTGCATACATCTTTTGCCTGCACCACCCAGACAGTGCAGCTCTAATCATCTTGGCCCACCGGCCACTGCAACATTGATAAAAGGCGTGCGCTTACTGGCCCAAAAGTAGCTCCTGCGACCCGTCTGGAAATCAAGACAAAAACACGATCACAACGAGCCCCTGAGAAAAGGAGCGACCTTGACAAGAGGAGCCAACTAGCGTTTACTAGTGCAGTGAGTCTGCGGGGGCGACCCACAATGCCGAGATGGGAAATCTAGTGCCCGTTGAAGAATCCTAAATGAGCCAACAGCACCGAACGTTGATGCATATACCGTGGCTAGGCCAGCCCCTCAAAGTGCAGCAGGCGACACACTCTGAACCGGGGCTCTTAGTGGCATTAGAGGAGAAGAGTGATCGTGAGCAAGATGATTCCCGTATACCTTACATTAGTCTTGATGGAGACAACATGATCTAGATATTTCCCCCTTCAGTCCTGGCAGGATGAAAACATAATTCGCGGTCGCGCTGCGGAGTACAGCTTTATCCTTGAAGATACGCTTGCCAGGACTCAGGCTTGTCAGGAGCCCAGGACATCACAACGGGACGCAGAAAGATACCATTTGGATGCAACGTGACCAGCACACGGCACTAAGACGAATCTTTCGAAGATCTTCAAGCGCAGGGATCCCTAATGGAACGAACTGGGGGCAGATGATGGAGACACATCCACTACCTCTCCACTTTAGGAACTTTGTGACACTTGGTTCACCATCC